TGGAGTTAATACTCTCTCCCATCCCTTCAAGTGAAAAGAAGAATAAGTAAATGTAATTCCCATGTTTGAATATGAATTTTAAGCTATTGTGCTGTGAGAAAAATAAGGGGCTAGGAAGTTATTAGAAGTAAATTATGGATACAGCTGTAGTAAGGGTAGATGAATGGCTAGAGTTGTAACTCCCTACCACTAAAGCATTTGGGGAGATACTTGGACAACATTTAATTGTTATGTATTTAACTTAAAGTATATTTAATGCTTGTATTTTATCTATCTATCTATAAAATGTATCTTTATATATTTAACACATCAGTAAACTTACTGCTAGAGTGATGAAAAATTTAAAAAAAGGGATAGGAAAAATTTAATTTAAAGAAAAATATCAAGGACATAATAATATATCTGCTACATGGCTATGACAAAATTCCTTCAGGCAGTGGTCAAATGACTGAAGTTTAGTCAATTGTGGAAAGGGGGTAGAAGGATATCAAGATCCCAGATATTTTACCTCATATTATGTGTTTTCATAATTTAAGTTCATTTTCTCTGTACTGTAAATCAGCACAATTACACACAATGCCTGCCTGACTTTTGGTAGTTAAAAATCTCCAGCTGCTCTCTCCAGTTTAGTCCAGCCAATGCAAAGGCTGCTGTGGGTTGGCTGAAGGAGAACAACACAGAAAGGAGTTGTTTTCCCTGCTCTACTCAGGAAGCACTTCTGGTAAGAGCTGTATCTCCTTTCTGATTCCAGCTAGCACTTGACAACCCCTCCTGTCCTACTCCCATCCCATCCTGTTCTAGCTCCAAGACTCTGACAAAATTACCAACCCCCCCACCCCGCCCTACCAGTCCTAGGGGTGGTGCAGCTTCCAGGCATCATTAGCTAGTAAGATACTTCATCACTCTGTGAAATTCTGCCCAATCTTCCAACCCCCACTTCCCTAACTATAGATTCCTACATCAAATTCCCTACAGTGAACTACCTGGCACTGATTCACAACCAAACCCTGACTGACAGACACAGCAATTATCAGGCTACAAAGAATTCTTACCCATCAAACACTAGCCCTCCAATAGAAAAGGGTGATCCATAGGGTGTCTTTATATTTTCTAGATACTTAGAAATACAATGGATGACATTAGTGACAGACTATGAAAGAATGGAAGTTACATAACTGAAGGAAGGGAAAATTAATACAATCTTTTAAGAAAGCAACTTGGGTACAGATAGCAAAACTCTTAACAATGTTCATGTACCTTAAATACTTCTCTTCCTAGCAGATATAATTTTACATACAGGGTTGCTTCTCAGTTATAATAGTGAAAAATCACAAATACACAATAATAGAGACATACACAAATATGCATACTTATGGTTTTCCTTTATAGTATCTTCCCACCAACTGTAAGTATATACAATATACCTGGTTTGGTTAGTTCACCTTCATTAAATCCTAAGCTGTTAAAAGGTCAAGGATGTTTACTTTAAACACTGACAACTATGTGCCACATTTGTTCAAGGTTCTCAAGAAATATTTCTGGAATAAATTAATTATGATAAGCATAGAATTTTATATTAAATAGGCACTTACATAATATATGAAAAAAGCAGCAAATAACTGGATATAAATGTTCTCTATTTTGCTTAAAAGGCAAAAAATATGTGCAACACACATACACAAAAAGACAAGTGATGAGGCTGATTATAAGCAATTCTTTTTACATATTTCTGTACCTTCCAAATCTCTTCTGATGGGTCTATACTGTACTTAGAATTAAGAGGAAAATAACTTTTAAAAAGGAAAAAAATCTGATAGGAAGGCAGGTGGTAAGGTTAAAACGTTATCAAGCCTGTGTTTTTCACCACTGCTTGAAGAACTAAAACTAGAATTCAACCCATGAAAAAAAGGCATATTAGCCACCAGTGAAATGTAAATCAGTATCACAAGAGACTACTTCATACCCACTAGAAGGGTTGTAATCAAAATGTATTAAGAAGTGCTGGAGAGGATGAGCAGAACCCTTCTACTTTACTGATGGAAATGTAAAATGGTGCAGCCACTTTGGAAATTAATCAGGTAGTTGCTTAAATGGTTAAACACAAGAGTTACCACATGGCCTACTAATTTCACTCTGCTAAGAAAACTGAAAACACATATCTGAAATTTACAAAGAAATGTTTATAGCAGCATTATTTTTAATATCCAAAGGAGAAACAACTAAATGTCTATGAAATGATGAATGGATAAAGAAAATGTGTTACACTTATCCAATGGAATATTATTTAGCTGTTAAAAAGAATGAAGTACTGATACATGCTACAGCAGGGGTGAACCCTGAAAACATCATGCCAAGTGGAAAAAGTCCGTCATAAAGGGCCACACATTGTATGATTCAACTTATCTGAAATGTCTAGAAAAGGAAAATCCATAAAGAAAGCATACAGTAGTTGCTTAAGACTGGCAGGTCTGGGCAGAGGAAGGTGGTGATTACTAGTTGGTATGTGGTTTCTTTTAAGGGTAATGGGGATGTTCTAAAATCAGTGAAAACAGATGCAAAACTCTGATGAACATTTAAAAAAAAAATCACTGAAGTGTGTGGTTGTCTGGTATATGAATTCTATCTCAATAAAGTTATTAAAAAAAAGAAAAAAAGCCATAAGGGAAACAACAAAAATAAATTCACGTCATGTGTGTCAAAACTGCAGCAAGTAAAGACCTGAAACCCTTGTAAATGACCTACTGGACTGTAAGTGCATTATGAGTGAAGTTAAGAATCAAAGAAAGTTCTTAGGAGTTTTAAAAATGTGTAACTTTTGTGTATATTTTTTCTAAAATACATATTTTGTTCCTGAATTAAAACATTCACCCCATTTACACATTAGGGGGATTAAAAAAATCTTTGCTAAGTATTGGGCATTTTCTTGGCACTAAAGCAGAGAGAAAAAGGACACTTTCCAGCAGCTTAGAATTTAGTTGTGAAGCAACTGTGCACACATTCAAGCATTCCTTTGACAGTGTCAAACAGTGCTCATTATTCACTCATGGATTCAGGGACTCATCCACTCAGGTGGTGAATTACCCTAGGGTCTACCATAGCCACAGGTCCTTGGAGTATGTTGGTGAACAGTGCAGGCATGGCTCCTGCCCTTAGTAATGACCTGATATGCTGTGCAAAGTGTGGAAGTAGCGCTGCATCTCAACTGACTCCTTCAGACAGGTTCGTTCAGATTTCAGATCATTCTCTCATCAACTTCCAATCAGCAGTTTTGTCCTTGCCCTCTCACTCAGCTGTCCCTTATCTACACTACGCTGAACCACATAACAAAGTATTAACTTGCACAGACCTATCCGTTTAATAGAAGTGTCTTCCCTCACATCTGATTAAGGGCTTTCTTTAATCGCATTTAGAGATGCTTACTGAATGTTCTCATCTGCTCTCCTTTTGTCACCTCAGATCCCATATACCTAATAATACCGTCCAGAGCACTCACAAGACTGGCTATTTTCACTCTCCCAGTTGTTTCAGTGGAGCCAATATCCTTCCACACTCAAGACCCTCACAGAACAAGCCCTAGGAATTGCCTACGCCACATGTTCGCAAACACCAAATTCTGCAAAAAGCTTCCAGTTGGTCTTTTTGATGCTAAGTTTTCCTCCCTCTAGCTCACAACTCTACTGTTTCTCCTGAGGTATTTTCGATTATTTGATTTTTGCTTAAAGGATTGCTAGTGTCTCCTCATGACTACTGAGAGAGTCAAAGTCCCTGGTACTTACAAATTTCTATAATATCCAGCATTTAGCATTTATACTTCTTACCACTTCCCAACTTTTAAATGTTTGACATGGCACTTCTATTGTCTCCTCTACTGCCCAATGACAATGATCTCTTTACAGTCCCGCCACCTGTGAGGGCCAGGCAGGCTCCAGGCCCATCTTCATGGCTGAGCTACAAGTGGGCTATCCATTTGTAACAATATTCCCTATGTACTAGTTAGGCACATATTATTTCATGGCTTGTCTTTCCTTGCTATTTGTTCGTCTTGTTAGGTAGCTTTTTATATGTTTTTGCTGCATCAATAATTTGAATAAATACTATATTCCTTAGAAACAGCTTCTTTGTTAGACAGCAGAGTACCTTGTAAGCACCATAAATAACACCAGAATCCTGCTACCAAGCACAGATAAACTTAGTTTCCCTCAAGTCAAGCTTTGTTTGAAAAGTGTCAAACTATCTAGATATCAAGGCCTATCCTAGCATTTTAATATTGGTTCCATCCTTGTTTACACTGCAAGCTCTGTAAGGATAAATGTATACTGTGCTATCAATGTCTGCTAAGCAGGGTGCACAGTGCCCAGGACATGATTACATGCTCAATAAATACTTATTGAACAAAGCCTAAGTATGAAGATATCAAATATTGGTGATATTTGATAGCACTCTCTTTAATGTAACTCATCCTTCATATGTAGTGAATTTTAGGGTAAAAAGAAAATGAGACGATATTAAACTCTATCAGACTACGTAACACTTTATTAGGATTTACTAGATATTCTACATGTGGGTACCTAAAAGCAAAATAAAACAGAACAACATTTCAAGTATCTCTTCTCTGGGTACAAGAAACAGACTTGATTTGTATAAATGATTAGCCAGCATTCTCAGACTGTACAATAACCTTTTCTGAGCTCATTCCACTATTTTATTGTGATGGAAAAGAAATTTCAGACATAGGGCTGATATTAAACATGTTCTGTGTAATGCTACAACTTTCTTTATAGCCGACATACAAATCTCAATTGTGTTAAAAAAATTAAGCATATTACGAACTACTACTTTAAAGCAGTGTAGCTCAATGTTACCACTATGCTTGCTTCACCACGAGATAGTAAAAAGTAGACTAAAGTAATGGCTTTTTTTTGTGTGTATGAAAACGTTGTCTTTTTTTATGTACTAAAAAAAACCCAAAAAACAAAAAAACCCAAAAAAACCCACCATACCTGTTGATCTCCAAGGAAATGACTTCTCAGTTGAGCTAAGAAAAAGAAGGAAAAAATTAACATTTATTTTTGTGTCATAAAATTTAACTGTGGACTAGTCTTCCATATAAACATTTTAGTTTTCATATTCAATTATATAAAAATATAAAAACCTCAAATAAAATTTAAAATTACCCTTCTAATTAAGTAAAATTTTAAGCAATAATTAACCTTGTACAACAATTTAGGACAACACTATATCCATTTGGAAATTAAGGTAAATTATAAAGTGACATGAACTTTTCTTTGAATAAGACAAATAATACTAAGAATGATATGCATAGTATTTATGTATTTGTGATAACATGAAAACTACATACACAATATACACATTTAAAAAGTTTAAGAAGTTCATCTGTTTTACTTATGTTCAAAAGTAGTCTTTAGAGTATCTAATGATACTCCAACAGAGAACTGGGGGCATGGTTCAGTGTTAGAATGATAGCCTTGCATGCATATGGCCCTGGGGTTCAATCCCTACTGTGTGTGGGGGTGCAGGGAGGGGATGCTCCAAAAGAACATGGGGGTCAGTTTTAAATTGAATATAGCTTTATAAAATTTAAACCATACTAATAGGACTTTACATAAAAAATATAAGGTCACAGAAGCCAGGAAAAAAATCTCAGTTACATCTTTTCCTTGATTTATGGTTTATAGTGTTATGTATCTTAAAAAATGTACATAAAAATATATGTGTGCCTCCCTGTTTCTTCTTGCTCTGAACCAATTATTACATACATATAGTATCTTATTTATATTAGTCACCACCACCACCTTATTTTTTTTCTTTTTCTTTTATTATTCATATGTGCATACAAGGCTTGGTTCATTTCTCCCCCCTGCCCCCACCCCCTCCCTTACCACCCACTCC